GCCAAACAATACATTGGTCTCTATCTCTATGACTCACATAGAGACTGCTCAAGGTAAAAATTGTACCTCTAAACCAAAATGATTGTTGTTGTTTAAGTTTTCTATGAGCACGCTCGATATGTTCCTAGAGCAAGGTTCTGAAGACAGAATGTGCAATGCAAATTTATTTCACATTGGAAGGGATATGGATTTTGAAGATAGACTCAAACTTTGGTTCAGGCATCCAGGCACATTCTGCAGAGCTTGCCTTATTTTAATTGCCCCAAAGAGTATGTATGATTATCATTCTTTCACTGACAATACGTCTGGATGAGGATTACTCATTGGAAAAGTAAGAGATTAGCTATTGTGCAAACCAATTTGAAAAATACAATGTTGCTCTGATGAAAACTAGAAGGCAGTCCCTTTAGTATCACACTTACCTTTGTAATCCACCATGTTTGAAGTGGCAGTACAAAACGCCCCTATTCATGCATTAGCAAAACCTACTATATGTAAACAAAGTAAATAAAAGATCCATGAAACAACCCAATAAGCTGATTGGCCACTAGTATCAGAATACTTTTGAATGCTTACGTAGTATTTTACATCTTAATCTGTGATGACACAAGGCCTAGCTCTATCCAAAAACATGTAATAATTAGATTGATAAAACATTACATAAAGTAAAGTTGAAGACTATTGTAAAAGTTGGGTTACTATAGTGTTTTGGCACAAGTCTAGCACACAGTGAAAGTTTGTACCCTGGAAACTGCTACATCCTTGTCTGGTTGAGTGTAATCGTCAGTAAGGACTCCCCTGATCAGAGTCTTATGAAGCGAGAGACAGTGACCTCTGCTCAGTTTTCTCTCTGGTTACACCAGCCTCCTGTCAGGGCTACACTCCACTCAGAGCGGGCCTGTCCTCAGCCTGTCAGCTACATTGTTATTTAAATGTCAAATATAATGTCCATTGGCAGTCAGGAGTAGGAGGGGTGGATTCGGTTATTATAAGTGAGCATGGGAACTCCTCCAAAAGTTTAGTTTTTCTTATGGAAGATAATTAGTTTAACCATTTTTATGAAACAAATACATATTCATATTTAAATGCCACTGAATTTCTCACATTGATTTTTTTAAACAAACATGCTGAACTATTTTTATTCTGTATTTCAGTTGTTTAAATTTTAAATATACTTTTTGAATGTGTTTTAAATGTCAAAATAAAAATTCACCTTTTAAGTATTCATCACAAATATTTTCAATCCCTCAGATTCAACAGTCTAAATTCAGTGTAAATTTGCAGTGAAAAAATTCACCTCAACGATCCAAGATCCTGATTGTTTGTGAGCGAGGAGGACAGAGGGGGTTTTCTATTGGAATATCAGCCTCCCTGCTCCTCCCTTCAGGCAGATGTAAGACAGTGCCCACCAGCAACCTGACCAGAACTGAAGAAGTAGCTTGGATGAGCTGTGAAACGTCTTCACTTTAAAAAAAAAAATCTTTTGTGCAGTTGACAGAATACAATTTTTCTTTTGCTGTTTTATTATGCTACTTCTGAACTATCAGACTGGTTCCCTACAGCATTTTCTGCTAGTAACTAAGTTAGATCGATGGCTTAGACCTTGGCACCTTGGATCTTTGCTGCAAACATTCTCACTACAAATTTTACTTAATTTTAATTAATAAAAAAATGTTAACTAAAATGTATTATTTATTATAAATCATGTCATCCTGTCCTTGTGGGTATTCTTCCCAGAGCTCATAATCATCATCATCTCACTACAACAAGAACGAAGGGCAAGCAGCTGTCATGTTATTATGCAGCAGACTGTGGCCAAAGGACACATGTACCAAATGCATGTATCAAAACATAGCATGCTAAATGACATCTTGTACACTTTAAAGCTCAGGTGAATCACTGAATAAATACATACTTATACTTCATGCACTTTATTATGTATTGCTCAAGTGCTGTTGAACTTATTCTGTTGTATTTAAATAGCCCGCCTTCTTATTTTCGCAAATGCATTGAAATCTGTTCTATAGTGTGGTTTTATGCTGCAGTTAGCTTTATTCAGTGTATTTGAGATTTGTTGGGAAGTGGCTATAGCAGCCGTTTAAAGCTCCAAATGCCAGGCTCTGACCTTACGAGCACCGTTGCACTAACTTGCCTCTAGTCGACTATCTCCCAACTGATTTGATTCCTCACGATGTATTGGGCTGGCTGCTTTTTATTCAACACTTCTCCACAGCCTTGGAGCAGGTAAAGTGTGTGAGTTTGACTTGTGTAGAGGAACTGTAACATGCACCGGCTCATTCATATTTCACCAAGTGTGCCACAGTCGAGCAGCTTATTGATCAGTTTTTTATTTTTGCTCCTACATGAAAGCATCTTTTGAATTCCAAATGAACATGTTTATTTTGACAAATGCCACTAAAAGAATACAAAGCAATTAATTCATTTTGAGAACTTTCTGTACAACACAAGACCATTACTTTTGAATAATTTTCTCAAATAGACCTTGAAGCTCAGAAAATACAACTATTAAGCGTACCCCCCTGGAGAGTAGAGAACCATCAGCAAAAATCATTACACATATTTAGTGAAAGTTTTGTAAGACAAGTCTTCATTTTGAGAGGAAAATAAGGTTAGAAAAGTAAAAAAATAGTAGTAGTTCTCCTTGTCAAACACATACCTGGTGTTGTGTTTTGTTTCATTCACATGTTTAACACAAAGCCTTCATATTTAGGCAACTCTCTCTTCCACCTGGCGGTACTTGCTCAAATGACTATCTAGTTTTGTTATTATTGATTAGTGTCTGATTTTCAATATGACTGACAACCCAAATAGTCATTAATTGTCTTAATGTAGGACTAAACAGGGCTAAACCAGAATAAATCAGGTCCAAGTAGAGTATAAATAACTACACTCACACTTTAATACACTCTTAAATACAACCTGTCAAATATGAAGCCAGAATCACTACATTTAATTTAACCTAGTGCAATTTCTAACTGTGCTCATAGATGTCTTTAAGCTGCTGGTGACTTTAACGTAGGAGATTTCTGAAGTGCTTAACTGCAGGAGCTTTGAGTCATCCATCAATTTGTAATGCCTCAGCACTCCAAAAGTCCTTCTTAGTGCTGGACATGGGTAAGAACAGAGCACACACTGTTCAGAAGAAGGTAATCATGGGGCTGGGACAGTGTCCATTTGCACAGCCAGTAGAGCTGAACTTTGTGGGATTGAAATTGAACTGTGGCACCAGGCAACCCAATCATCTCATCATCCTGAGCCAGAGCTGCACTATTTCAGCTCACATGTTAAGTATCCACACAGCATTAATAAAAAACAAACAAACAAACAAACAAACAAACAAACAAAAAAACAGCAGATTCCTGGGCTATAATTTGACAACTTTTTCCCCATTTAGAATTATTAATCGCTATGGAGATTATCCTAATTTATTATAATGAAACCCATGAATAAAATTTAGGACTAAATGTCATAAACAACTGTACCCTGGAAGTCCACCATGTTTTTAGCAGAAGTGCAAAACACCACAGAGATACATTAGCCAAAATAATGTAAAAAGTAGATAAGGCAGATAAGCAGCTGGATCACTACTAGTAAATACATTTGGCACTAGTGTGAGAATACTTGATTTAATGCTAAATTTAGTGTTCAGCAACTTAAAATCTCCATTGGTTTATTAGACTGACAATTCTATGACTTTTGATGCCACAATCCCAAGATTTATAGTTTTGTAGAGTGCGCTCACATAAAGCAAAATATGTTCAATGACATAAAGTACACATACAAAGGTACACTTTTGTTAGGCCAAAGCTCATGTATGCACAGATGCACATCTCCAAGCCCTGATATATTGTGCATTGTTGTGAATCACAATCACATTTTTTGTCCTTTAAAATACCTCAACAGACCTTGTTGAAAAATGAAGCTTTTGATTTTGAGGAATTATTTGCACAAGGACTTTGGTAGGGAAGGTTTCAAAGGGCGGTAGCATAGACTGTATAAGGACATGGACTAAGGGAGTGTGAGATCAGTCATATACTGCTTGGCTCCAGTCAAATGAAACGCACAGAGGCTAGCAGTTACAAGAGCACAGGACTTCTTGCAGCTCAACAGCTCCAAATCCATAAATCAGTTTAATCAATCCTCCCCAGTTCACCTCTCATATCAGCAATAATCTTGGCCCTCTCACTTCCAACATCACTCCTGCTGCCAGAAACCTTGGTGTCATTTTTGACTCTCATCTCAACTTCCACCTTCACATCAAAAAAGTTGCCCAATCCTGTTTTCTCCACCTCCACACAATTAGCAAAATCAAAATTATCCTCTTCTGCCCTGATCTTGAAAAAGTCTTCCACATGTTCATCTTCTCTCGTCTAGACTACTGCAGCTCCCTCCGCTCCGGCCTTGACTCCAAATCCATCTCACACCTCCAGCTGGTTCAGAAGGCAACAGCTTGACTCCTCACTGGGTTTAACCGACATCAACACATCACCCCTATTTGAGCTTCCGTTCACTGGCTGCCTGCGTGCTTTAGAATTGATTTTAAGATTTTACTGATCAAAGCTTTTTTAAAGCTCGTTTAGGTCTTGCACCAAGTTACATTTCAGAACGTTTAACCCCGGACGAGCCTCCTGCAGCCTTAGATCCTCAAGCAGGTCCCTGTTCACTGTTCCAAAGTCCAGGCTCCAGACGAAGCCTTTGCAGTCCGGTTGCCTCGGCTTTGGAATGACCTGCCTGAGGAGATAAGGCTCCCACCATTGGTGTCATCTTTTAAATCACTTCTTAAAACTTTTTATCATTTGGCCTTCCTTTAACTGGTTTTAGCTAGATTTTGTATGTTATTTATTTTTATTCTATTGTATTCACTTATTTATTATAATTAATTTAATTTTATGATTCCAAGAAAACAATACACTAATCAAATGTGAAGGAACGTCTTCATCACTGAGCTCTCGTGACATGGTCTTCTCTGTTTGTTGCAGGTCAGTTAGCAGTTGGCACCTGTGAGATCGTCATGCTCAACAGGGACAATAGTGTTCCCAGACGGACCATTGCCAGGCAGACGGCTCGCTGTGCCTGCAGGAGAGGGCAGATCGCCGGGACAACAAGGGCACGACCAGCATGCGTAGATGGTGAGTTCAACACTTTCTCTGTGGAATATAGGCAAAAGTATTCATGAAGCTCTTCTATATTATACAAACTGACTCTTGTGAGATTTAAGCCATCTTAGAACATTGATCTGACCTGATCAAAAACATACCTGGTGCTGAATTGTTTCATTCACACATGTTTGAGTAATTCTTTATTATTACCCCCAATTGAGACCACAGGTTGTATGCGCCGCACGTGCACACACACACGCGCCGCAAACAAAAAAACAGCAGATTCTCTGGGCTATAATTTGACAACTTTTTCCCCATTTAGAATTATTAATCACTATGGAGATTATCCTAATTTATTATAATGAAATCCATGAATAGAATTTAGGACTGAATGTCATAAACAACTGTACCATGGAAGTCCACCATGTTTTTAGCAGAACAGCACAGAACACTGCTGCAGGCAACAGTGGGAATGTAGCACCAGCGTACATTGGGTGAAACCATGACATTGTTTTTGTTTTTTGGCAGAAAAGTAACCTAATTTGAAAAGAAAAACTGATAAAAAAAAAAAAGAGTCACGTGCCCTTTCAAAATACGTTCTCTAAAACCAGTGCAGTCACATAAACACTGTGCGTCACATCCAAGAGCTTGGGGAATGACTCGTAATGGACTATGGAAAGTTTACAGCTGTGGAGAATAAATATAAAACACTTCATGGCATCAGACAGCAACTTTACAAGAACAACTTCTGAAGGAAAAGGCACGTGATGCAGACAACTAAAGTTAAATGGAGAGTGACTTAATTAATGCGAGTGCCGCAGATTCGGCTTACTATTGCCGCAAAGCATCATCTCTCATGTTGTCAACTTTTGTATTGTGATTTAAAACATAATTCATCCAAACAACTATGAATACATATACAATGTAAAAGTTTTAGTGTTTAAACATGAGAATACATAGAGGCTGGTATAAACTGACACTTTTAAAAGTGCGCGTGTATACAGCACTGCCTATGTTACGTGTCGCTGATGGTCCTGGTGTGAATCCCGGGTTAGTCTGCTAACATCTCCAAAGCTCAAAATGCTCTATTCTACCTTGTGCTGTCATGAAATGGTTATTATTTATTTTTAAGATTTTTGCCTTTGGTTCAGTAGAGATTGGCAATTCCAGGTCTGAAATGATCCAAGTGATTCTAGTGAAGGTGTGCAGTTTAAAAACACAGTGGAGCACTTTCTGTATTACCACATGACATCACAAGGTGAAACAGAGTGATTTCTGTTTGAGACAAGAACTAAATATGCAGAGTTAAGCATGTGTGAATGAAACAAAACACACCCCCAGGTATGTTTTTGATTTGGAAACAAGATTATAATTTAGATAAAATAGCCTAATATAGGCCCTTTAAAGTCCGTTCATCTTCAGCAGGCTCAATCAGATCTTTTTGCTGCTCTAATAAAGTACGCAGCTAACCAATTACCTGCCATTATTTTTAGCATTGTTCAATTTCTTTTACTCAGTAGTGAGTGACTGGTTTGAGTTCTTTCATCCACTGCTTTTGTTTCCTATTTAAAAAAAAGATCATTTCCATAATTTCTTTTTATCACCAGATATTGAGAACGGTTCTCATTGTACATGCTTGTCTGTACAATTCAGACTGGATAAGACTTTTTTTTTTTTTTATCAGATTTTCTTTTCAAATTAGGTTACTTTTCTGCCAAAAAAACAAACAAAAACAAGGTCATGGTTTTACCCAATGTACGTTGGTGCTACATTCCCACTGTTGCCTGCAGCAGTGTTAAACTCAAATTACTTTGTGCATATTCATTTTGTTTTAGCTTAGATCTGTCTTTAATAAAACCATATGAGCCATGGGTGTTTATCTTCTGCAATTTAGAATCATGACTCATCTTGTGCAAAAGTAAAAAGTGCATAATTCCTCAGTGATAAACAGGTAGTGCGCTTTTATAGTGACTGGAGACAAACTCACAGGAGAGCTTATTTGATAAAGTCTCATGCAGTAGCACAGTCATTAAAAGTTACTATTTTATTTCTGCAACACAAATTGACATGGTACTGTATAGGTTTTTATGAGGTAAATGATAAAAATCCCTTTCCTTGAATTTTATGTTTCCAGTTTCACATAGGAAGCACTTGAAATTGCAGCTGGCTAAGAAAAAACCCTGTACATCATGAACTGCAACTAGTACTATTATAGCATATAGAAAAAAGATAATAATATACAGTATACTACACAAAGGCCTTGACCCAGTTATGCATAAACCCAAAAGATTCAAAGGAGTTCCCTAAATCACTGACTACAATATTGGCAATTAGGGATGCACCAATAGCTGGACTGGGTATTGGTTCAGTGATACTGGTTGAGTTGAGATCCTGGTTGGGCCTTAAATTGGGCCAATTTACAGGCTGATTTTGACCTTGAACATCACATAATGTTTAAACTTTTATTCATACAAAGCTTTTCAGGAGTTATTTGAAGAATATCGCACAGTTGGATCTCTTGTGTAATAAGTTAACTGTGTTTTAATGAAATAAGTGCCATTTTCCGTCTGGTATTGGTTAAAATCAAAGGATTGATATCGTAACCGATGTAGCTGGATCGGCATATCCCAATCTGTGCAATTGGTCGCAAGTTTACCAAACAAGTTAATGTCCAACTCTGATCCAGACATTTATTCAGGTCACCTTTTTGTTCTTGAGATTTCACCTTGAACATAAAAAAAAATAAAAATAAAATCACAAGTAGGTATGCATTGTTTTCTTAACTGGATCCAAAGTATGTTTTTAGGTTTTTATTTGGCATTTTCCCAGGTACTTTGACCAATACTCTACAATTTAAGAAAAATCTAATGGAAATGTTCTGTTCCACAGCCTGACAACAGTAAGGCTGAGGCTGTGCTCTATATTCACATTACACCTCTTGCCTCAATAACCTTGACTCATTTTGGTTAAACTTGCATTTTCTCGTTACAGTTTCTTTCACCCATAAAAAACTGCAGTCCAAGTTAACCAAAATGGATCGCCTTCTTGCACTGATCATTAACACCCCCGCTGATGTAGTTTAGTTGTTTAAACAGAAAATCAATTCTCACTGTCAACCTTTTGATGTGTGCAGTTTGATTCCAGCTCTGCGATAGGCTGGACCTGCCACAGTCCATCACCACAGTCACAACCTGTCAGTACGGTCAGGACTCTGGAGCTTGTCTAACGCAGGGATAGTGGGAATTTTATTGCAGCTAATCTGGATATAATGTTTTAAATTTCTATTACTCTTACATGTTTTCTTTTTTTGTTTGTTTTTTTAATTACTGTTATCAAAAAATATATCAGAAGTAAACCAAAAGAACACATAAATAGGACAAAGTTGGATATTTTCTGAATAGTTTTGTTAAACTAATATACAGGGATGTAACAATAACCAAAATATCATGATACTGTATCATCAAAGTTCTCACAATAATATCGTGGACCATCATAATATATCAAATTACAAGTCTCTTTGCTTAAATTAAGAGTTATGGTGCAGCAATATCCATCCATCCATTTTCGTCCGCTTATCCGGGGCCGGGTCGCAAGGGCAGCAGCCTAAGCAGGGACTCCCAGACACGTCCTCCAGCTCCTTCGGGGGGACCCCGAGGCGTTCCCAGGCCAGCCGAGAGACATAGTCCCTCCAGCGTGTCCTGGGTCTTCCCCGGGGCCTCCTCCCGGTGGGACATGCCCGGAACACCTCCTGAGGGAGGTGACCAGGAGGCATCCGGAACAGATGCCCGAGCCACCTCAACTGGCTCCTCTCGATGTGGAGGAGCAGCGACTCTACTCCGTGTTCCTCCCGTGTGACTGAGCTCCTCACTCTATCTCTAAGGGAGCGCCCAGCCACCCTGCGAAGGAAACTCATTTCGAGCGCTTGTATCCACGATCTCGTCCTTTCGGTCACTACCCAGAGCTCATGACCATAGATGCAGCAATAGAAAAAAAAAAGACAAAGGGAACTACATAGACCATGATCCTTTGCTCCATTTCAGTGTAGACTACATAAAGAAATAACAGTTCGAAACACTTTTAAGTCTTAGTTCTTTGGATTAAGTCTTGTCAAGGCATTTTCAGAGGAAAATGTAGCATATTAACAGTTTTGTTAGCCTTTGTTAGCCACAAACTATTGCAATAAATATCGTTCTGTGAGATGTATATTGTGAAAATATTGTACCGTGAGATTTGGATATTGTTACATCCCTTCCCCACCATATCCCAATGAATATCGTATCGTGAGGTTCATACCGTGACAGTATCGTATCATGAGACTTAGATATCGTTACACTCCTACCAATATAAAAAGATAAATATTAAACACATGGCATTTGTATTATGTTTCAAATTGCATTCTACTGAATAAAAAGTAATGCTTTTAATTATCATTGTGGTATCAAAATTGGTAGTGCTGTAACAGTAATAATTATAACTTTAAAAAAACAAAAAAAACAACACATTTTCTGATTTAATTACATCAAAATGACACAGGAAAGGTTACGTTAAGTGTTTTTGATTAAATATGCATTTTCGTCTGTACATATACTTCAGCAGCATCACTTCAGCTTCATCTGGGTCAAATGCAGCACAGATCTCATAGTCATGGGCTTTTTTGCATTCTAACAAACTAATCAATTAATCTAAAAAATAATTGCTACATTAATTAATAGAAAAATCTTTAACCGTAGCCCTAAAAATGTATATTGAGTATTTTCCTTAGTATCAAATCAAGTTTGAAATGTAACTATTGTTGTCACACTGTATGAACTTGGACATTGAATATTAGATGGCTTGGTGGAGACAGTTCACCTACAATGCTGATTGCCTCTCACAATATTCCAAACTCTAATCGCAATCGTAATTGCTGTAAATTGTGTCCCCTGTTGCAAACCCAGAGTCACAGTTCTGCTCTTTGCTTTTGGCCCGCTCTCCACAAACTCGCTCAGTAACACTCAGCAGATGCTAATTCACTTAGAGGGACGTATGAT